ATATATATATTATTTATATATAAATTTATATAAATATTATATAATTATATAATTTTATATAAATTTATATAAAAGGTATTTTCAGATTATTATTGTCTTAATAATGAAATATTTTACTACGTGGGCGTTTCTCTTCGGGGCAAAATTTCTGAATGAAAATAAAAAGATAAGAGATAGAGAAAAAGGGAGAGAAAGAGAGATAGATAAAATAAAAAAGAAAAAAGAAAAATCTCGTTGTAAAGCATAGCTCGAGTAGCAGCTGCAGCTGGGTTCGCTTGAACACCTGTTTAGTAACGTTTCCGGTGAGGAAGAGGACGACGACGACGACGACGACGACGTCGACGGTGTTGAGCCGATTACATTTAGCAAGAGGAGAAAACTACCAGACGACGATTATGTCAGAGGTTTATTAAAATTCGCGAGAGTTACGAGCTACAAAAGCTTGAAATTCCTAACAAATTTTCTTCTTCTTCTTCCCCTTCTTCTTCTTCCTCCTCCTCCTCTTCCTCCTCCTTCTTCTCCTCCTCTTCTTCTTCTTCTATTCAGTAGTAGTGTTCTATCCAAGAAAATTGGGAACGAGTATCGGATAAGAATTGGCAAGTTTCCGAGAAAATGTTGACACGTAAAATGAATAATAATAATTCACTTTACTTTTTTTTTTTTTTTAAATAATTCGTTCAGAAAATTTTTCGTTAATAATCGTAGAAAGTATAACAAACAAACAAAAACCAAAAAAACGAGAGAGAGAGAAGGAAGAGATAAAAGGGGGTGGATTAGGGATGATGATGAGGATGATGATGATGATGGGAATGTTTTCGTTAATAATCGTGAAAAGTATAACAAATAAACAAACAAAAAACGAGAGAGAGAAGGAAGAGATAAAAGGGGGTAGATGAGGGATGATGATGATGATGATGATGATGATGATGATGATGGAAATGTAGAGAAATATTTAGAATATAATATCAAGAGAAATTCAAAGACTTTGAGTGAAGGCTAACGTTTAGGTTAAAAGTTCATAATCAAAATTGGCCAAAACGCGGGAAATTGGTGAATTTGTACGAATTAAAATCAAAGGGAAAATTTATCTTCAACGGGATTCGTTCGAAAGGAAAGGGAAGGGGGAGGAGGGGTGAGTTGCGGTAAAACCCCATCGACCGATGGAATCAAATGCAAGAGAGAAAGAGATAGTCGAATCTACACAACTTTTGTTTATAGTGTACTCCTCCTCTTTACACACGGGTTTTCCCCGATTATGTGAGTTGTTCTTGAATAGGACCCACCACACCTCCCTCTTTGCGCTACCAATTGCTAAAGTAAACCTCGACGATATTTGAAAAGTCAAAATTATATTCTACGTGAACATGGGGATAGATTACAAATTTCACGTCGAGACTTATAATTATTGTTGTTATTATCTCATCTACGATTTATCCTATGAGATATATAATTACGTCATAATTATGAATTAAATAAAATAAATAAATGAAAAAATAAAAAAGGAAAAGGAACAAGTGAAAAGAAAATAAACATACATTGTAATAGAATACTAAAAAAAAGTAGGGGGATCCTGTAAGAGAGACGCGCCAAAGAATTTTCGGGGACAGGAAACTTATGTAGTCACGTGATTGCGCGCGAATGAATGAAACATTTGAAATAGTACAAAAGTTGTATATAGTAATAGTGAATAGTGTATGTGGGGGGGTTGAGTGGTTTGAATTGGTTTGAACAAATGATGAAATAATGAATTGCATCAAATACAAAAAATATAAACCATAATTTGAACCATATTTATCAAAAAATGAACCATATTTAATGATAATTAAACAAAAAAAATTTATAATTAAAATAGAATAGGTTAGACCCCCCCCCAAAAGAAATTATAATAAATTCAAAAAGTAAAAAGATTCAATCAAAAGGTTTGTGATTTGATAAAAGGCATTTTCATTTACAGTATTTTGAAATTGAAAAAACAACTTGTAAGAATTTCTACAATTTTGATAAATACAATTATCAACTATATATTTACAATGATTTTAATCATTCGTACAATTTGTTTTGAATTTTCAATATTAATAAATCAGTTCTACTCATTTCTGATTATTATATCATCGTAACAAACCACAGCCATTATTTATACATACTAAAGATAAATATGGCTGTACATTACATCGAAAAATGTCCCCCCCCCCAAAATTTTCAGCCAATAACAACCCCAGCAATATGTATGACGCGTCTCTCCTACACAGGGTCTTTAACTAAAAGTAAGGATAAAAATTAAATATGAAAAAAAAAATGTAAAGAGAAGAAATAATAATGATAAAAAAAAAAAAAATACTCAAGTATCGTCTAAAAAATTCTATAATCAATCGAATAATAAATTATTTATAAATAGAACAAATGAAGAAGAAGAAGAAGAACAACAACAACAACAACAACAGAACAATGAGATAGCAAAATATTGAAAGTAGACAAACTGTTGTATAATATATTGATATTACAGAAAAATTAATAGAAGTCAAAGAGAAAGAGAAAAAGATAGAAAAAGAGAGAGAGAGAGAGAGAGAGGAAAAATGGTGAATAAAAAAAAGTGATAAGAGAATATCGGAGTATACGTAATAGATACGCGACACCGATCACGAACGAACAGCACTATATATATATCAGTATTATTTGAACGGTCTGAACATCGCTGATAAGAGCATTATCACACGTCAAAGAGCACGTTGGGACTTCTTCAAACGAATTTCATCCTAGTAATACTCTCTCTCTTTCTCTCACTCACTCACTCACTCTCATTCTCTCGTATAGTCACTCACATACGGCATTTGCAACGTGGTAAAAATTTCCACTGCACTATCAAAAAGAAAAGATATAGATATTTTTATCAAAGAGAAGAAAAGACAGAGACAGAGACAGAGAGAGAGAGAGAGAGAGAGAGAGAGAAGAGAACAGAGAGATAAAGAGAGAGACAAAACTACACAGGAAGAAGATAGAAATATATTCAAAAGTTTCCCTTTCGGACAGAAAAATCAAGAGAGAAATAGAGTGGGGGGAGGTAAAAAAAAAAGAGGGGCTTGGGGACAATTAAAATTGGACGAAAATCAAAGAAAAACCTATTATAGAAGAAGGACGAAAATAAAAGAATCTAAAAAAAGAAAAAAAAGAAAAGAGAAAATTCATAATCGAGCTTATCACGGATAGTTCGCATCATCCTATACGCCATTTCCGTGTTTGTCAGATGAACTCCAGGGGCTTTATCGAATATCCCTGAATATTGTCACAAAGCAAACGAAGTTCATCGAACTAACGAACCATGTGTAGAGAATGGTTGGTTGGTTGGTTGGTTGGTTGGTACGTACGTACGTACGTACGATGCAAGCACGATTCGTTCCCATCGATGAATTGAGAGTCAAGTTATCTCTTTTTCCACTTCTTTATCTCTTTCTAACTATTCTCATCTATCCATCTATCCATCTATCTATATGTAGATATATATATATATATATATATCTATGTATCTATCTAACTCGTTGAACCATTCGTTCGATTGGAAAACCTTTCGCTATTATATTGCGTATTCTCGTTGCAAAGGGGGGAAGAGGAAGGGGGAGGAGGGGAGGTAACTGAACAATTTTGTTCAAATTTCATTTTACAATAGAATATTTGACCGAGTGCGTGTACCACGTGTTGTGTATGTGTATGTGTGTGTGTGTGTATGAAAAAAAAAGAAATAAAGAGAAAAAATATAGGATGATTTGTAGATGACGGGCATGCTTGATCAGTAACTATCACTCTTTCAATTAGATTTTTGTCTCTATCTATCTGTCTCTCTCTTTTTCTTTCTCCATCTCTATCTATCGATCTATCTATCTATCTATCTCTCTTTCTTTTTCTCTCTTTTTGTTTCACATCGTTGTTACTGCGAACAAAATCGTTTCGACTATTCGAGTGTTATACATCAATCGTTAACACACACGATTAAAAAAAATTCGTAGTTTCATTTGAAATGACATTTGGGAATGAAGAACGGGTGGTGTGTGTGTGTGTGTCACAAGTTGTTTAACGAATTTATCGTTTGTCATACTTAAACAAAAATATGTGTTAGTTAATATAAAATTTCATTAATTACTTTTTCTTTGTTTTACGTTATTTTTGTCAAAATTCAATTACAAGATTAATAATATATTCTCGTAATCAAATAGTTCGTTACGTGTAAGCCCCAAAAACAGAAAAAAAGAAAAATAGACAAAATAAAAGAAGAAGAAGAAGAAGAAAAAGGGGGTGGGGTATATAATTGTCTTTGTCTATTTCTTTTTCTATTTAAACTCATTGTATTCTCTTTTCTCTCTCTCTCTCTCTCTCTCTCTCTCTCTTTCTCTTTCTATCTGTAACAGATGGCGGCGGATAACCGATCGATATTATTTTTCGTACAAAACCTCTCTACCCTTTCCCCCTTCCCCACTCCCTCCCTCCCTCCCTCCCACTGCCCACTGCCCACCCCTCGCCACCCCTCTCTGGCCCAACACCGTTCGATTATTCGACGCCTGTTCTGGCCACCACCACCACCACCACACTGCGTCTAGCAGGAATATTGCACCCGCAGATAATTAATTCGTGTTAATCGCACACCATTTGAAATGCTAACGAG